ACTACTACTACTACTACTACTGCTGCTGCTGCTACTACTACTACTACTACTACTATTACCATTACTACTACAATTACTACGACTACTACTACTACTACTACTACTACTACTACTACTACTAGTACCATTACTACTACTACTACTACTACTACTATCACTACTACTACTACTACTACTACTACTACTACTACTACTACTGCTTGTACTTGTAGTTGTTTGAGACGACTACGGCCACACTGCTTTCCTTTTTTCTCCTCGGCTTAAGCTGGCTAGTCTTTGTAAAGGAATATGGTACAGAAGTGGGGATCCTACCATGCAGCGTTTATTCTGGCGGCCCTTGCTAACGAGCAGTTCCCAGTTTGAGTCTGCGGTCAGGGGGTGAGGATACTGGCCTGGCAGTATTTCTGGGGTTCGTAGAGAGCCCTTGGCGCTACTTGTCCTGCGGCCGATCGGTCAGCCGGATGTGATGTAGGACTAGGAGCTGTCTCAATGATTTCAAAGTAGATCTCCAGCTTGGGAGAAACACCGGGACATGAGCCATCTCGCCGTGGATCGCCGTAGTGATCTTGAGCCGAACTGTACGACGTCTTGCTTGGGACGGATATTCGGTTAGCCCGGCCTGCCGGACCTGAAGTTGAAATAATTCTTCGCAAGACGCTCGAGTAAGTGGACCCTCCAAGAATGCGTGTGCCCCCACTTGTCTTAGTGTCGAACCAAGCACACTTAAGCCCGAACCCGTATAGCACTGACACTGACACAGCCCACCGCTCAACAAAAGAGGAAGAAGACACAGACCGCCTTTCCTGCAATCCATGTGGCACTTGTTCGAGGTTTGCTTGCATTTCTTTTTACTAAAACCCTCATGAACATCCAAATACTTCTAACTTCAAACCTGAGATTGTTCGTGTAACCCGGTGCCTCCTTGGACCTCCTCTCGCAGTGGAGACGCTGCGCCTCTCCCCCGCAATGAGCCTCGGTTTGGACCCGAGCAGTGTCGGAGAAAGGGCCGCGTCCGAATGCCGAGTGCTGTTTAGACTTTAATGCAGGAGCCTCAATGATTACCCATTCAATACTACTTTGGGGGTTTCCTTAGTATAGTTATAGTATACTTTACCCAAAATCCTATTCTAATTATTACGGCCTCTATATTCGGCCAGTTAGGTTGCCGGCTCCGGGTAAAAAGATCCAGGGACAAGGCAACCAGCGGTTACTTCATCTCTAGAACAGCAGAGCCCAAGCCGCTAGAACCAGTCGCCTCACCGGGTGATGGCTACAAAGAGAGGCATCGTCAGCAAATAACCATTCGGACTGCTTGAGATGTTTTCCATTCTTCGCCCCGGTCGAGCCGTCCCTTCAGTGTGTTGTTATGTACATGTATGCTTGTATACACATCATTCATGTTCATATATGTGTATGTACAACTTTATGTGTCTCTGTCTATGCATGCCTTGCCGCGCCATGCCATGCTATGCCGCTGCTTGGGTGGCGGGTATCCTTACCATGCACTAAGTATTGCTCTTTAGATGCTTCGGCCGACGACTGTACAGAAGTGTCCTGGCAAAAGGTCGCTATCGCGATTGGTGTCGGGAGCTCGCAATTCCAGGCCGGGCCGTACTCTTCCTGTGCCGGTGTTCGCTCCAGGACAGGAGCCCCGG